AAGGTATACGAAACACAATTTGGGTTGTTGCGAAATGAAGAATATTGGCCAACATACATATGACCTACTTTGTGTGCAGATCCAGAAATGAAAAGAACTTCAAAGGGCCGACCAAAATCAAGTCGTATAAGAACTGAAATGAATATTACAGAAAATCAAAGTAGGATTAAAAAATGTTCATATTGTCAAACCCCTAATTATAGCAGAAGAACATGCCCCAATGTTGCACATGCATCTACTTCGCATCATTAGATTGTGTTAGTTAAGAAATACCCCAATGTATGAAACTTAGGAGTTTTTCAATTAATAAAACTTCTTCTTTGCAGAGTGGGGATTACCTACAATGTAGTAACTCATGGACTCATCTGTTCTTACAATAAGGATAACTATATTGGCAAAAAATCATAATAGGAATACTAGTTTGTTGCATGAATTGTTAATATCCTTCACTTTAGTCCTTTTGTTGTTCAATCTTGTTCATGGTTGAATCGAAGATATGCTGACAAGTTGCAATTTGCAGTCCAGAGAGTGTATAACTTAAAATTATCAAGGACAAATTTTTGAATACGAAAATAATTAGATAAGTCTTTGCAAGTTTTATGAAACAATTATTTCAATCAGTTATCACTTGAGCGAAATTACCCATCGCTTAAGTGAAAAAACATCCGAGATTACCCATTAGTTACAGGGTTCCTCGCTCAAGCGATGGAATTCTCGCTTGAGCGAGAGTTGACCACAAGTTAAAGCTTCAACGCAGTTAGCCATATAATGCAACTTGGGTCAGCACATAATTCAATCAGTTCTCGCTTGAGCGAAGTAACCCATCGCTTGAGCGAGAATTGACCACAGGCTAAACGTCCAACGCAGTTAGCCACATAATGCAACTTGGTTCACCACATATTTCAATCACTTCTTGCTCAAGCGAAAGTACCTATCGCTTGAGCGAGAATTGACCTGAGATTACTCATTTGTTACAGGTCTCCTCGCTCAAGCGAAAGGTTTCTTCGCTTGAGCGAGAGAGAAATAATCGATCATAATTTTGTATATTTGATTATTTTAAAATTATGATTGATTAGTTCAAATTATAATCGATTATATATTTCTTTGCTCAAGCGATGAATGTCTCGCTTGAGCGGGAATTGACCACGGTCCAACGCAGTTACCCAATCAATTCTCGCTCGAGCGAAGTAACTCATCGCTTGAGCAAGAATTGACCACAGGTTAAACGTCCAACGCAGTTAGTCACATAACACTACTTGGGTCACCACATATTTCAATCACTTCTCGCTCAAGCAAAAATACCCGTCGTTTGAGCGAGAATTGACCCGAGATTACCCATTTGTTACATGTCTCCTCGCTCAAGTGAAGGGTTTCTTCGCTTGAGCGAGAGTTGATCTTGCGCGAAATAATCGATCATAATCTAAAATAATCGATAATTTTAATACGTGAACAGTAAAGAGTGCTAGTTGTGTAAATAATATTCCATATGTGATATTTTGGAAAATATTTTTAAAAATAGTATTCTTTATGAAAAAAAGTCGTGAATATCCCCTCAAAAAAGACTTAACAATTTCCTCATTTATCAAAGATAAGTCTATAAGTAATAAATGAGGCAATGTATTGCTTGGATAGACTTGTTAATGACTTAAAATTGAATTGTGCAAAAGAATCAATTGACGTGACCAATTTTTTGCTACATTAACCATGTTTTTTTAAAGGCTTTTTAACTAATACAATGTGAGATGTTACATAACCACATTATTAGATACTAAAGTTAGCAATGGTTGCAAAGTGCATGGTGTTTTTTACGCTAATAGTATGTCATTTAAGTTTCATTTCTTTGGTTATTCATTAACATCATATGGTTGATTTAGATAAGTCATTTTGTATTTGAAGAATCATATTAAGGTAAGCCACATATTTTGCAGAATATGGACAACATGAATGTATAGAATGACATTATTCATTTGTGTTCCTTAACACAAACATAGTCGTTCCTTTTATTTATGCAAAGTCATATTTAAGTAACTTCCTTACTTGAAAACTAGCTTAATTACGTAACAATTACAACATAATAAGTTTTCAATTATGATCACCATAATTAGGTTACAATTACGGTAAATAAGTATGACACATAAAAAAAAATAACATAACACAATTTAAACTTATAAGAAAGTTCATTCATACAACTACATTGAAATGAAAAAAATGAATTGACAAAAGTTACACAAGTGAATTAAACTAAGTTAAGTTGGTCATTATTATTTTTGTATTGCATCAATCCTCTCTGAAATCATCATTAATCTGCTTTTTTTCTTTAGTTGTTTCAGCATTGTCTCCTTCTTTTGCATCTTTAACAGTTCTCGCCGCACTCATACCCTCTGTGAACATTAAATTGTACCCAAGTCATGATATTACATGATAAAACTATTTTGGAGATTGCAACATAATGAAATGTTTATGTATATCAAAAAGATAAAATCTTCTTCGTGACGTGATGATGATGTTTATGTTCAAAATGCCTTTGATGTATTTATTACTTAGAATCATCTAAGTCAATCTCCAAGTTTATCCAATACCAATAAATATATATAGAAGCATATAGCAAAAACAAAAAATACATCAAGGTGCAAAGAAGTGCATGAATCTTGTTTCATGTCTCATAGTTGGCTAGTTCGTTAATTATAACCCTAGAATGAAGTGAAAAATATAAATATATATATATATATATATATATATATATATATATATATATATATATATATATATATATATATATATATATAACGTACTTGAGAAACAATGTACATTCATCATATGACACCTTTGCTTTTATCCAAATTTAAGACCTTGGATATCCCATTAAAAAAAAAAAAACATTATTAATACCAAGACCCTAAATGGCAACAACCTAACCCCTAGATCAGAATAAAAGCTCATAAAAAAAAAAAAAAAAAAAAAAGAAAGAAAGAAGAAGAGTAACGGACAATGTCAATAAAGAAGAAATCTACAACCGCACGATAATGGTGAACAATATTTGTCCTCAACTCAAATTTTCCTCTTAATAGCTAACGACGAACATGCACTCTTCATCAATTTTTAATGACAACACCGCTTTCTCATTTCATATCTCTCTTTTGAAATCAATTTTTTTCTTCCCCATTAGCTCTTTCTCTTTCTCCCGTCCAATTTTTTACTTCTCTTCTCAAACCCAATTTCCATCTAACCAACATTGATGTCATTGATAATATAGAGGTAAATTCCACCTCAACACAGTCAAAACAAAAAATATTCACGTCACGGGTTTCAATTAGCAGGATATTTGTTTTGGATTCATCGGTCCAAAGTTTTTCCAGATTTATCAATTCGGGACCCTCCAAATATTTGAATCACATAAGGGTAATATTTTTGTAGAGTAAGTATGGATGAGGATGAACTATGAGGGTGTGTAGTAAGAATGAACCTTGGTTTTATTAACTTCTAAATGTAAAATAGAAACTATGATACAACTGTTTATGTTGTTGTGATAAGTTAACATATCCCCTAGAAAATACAATAAATAATAAAAAGATAATTAGATTTCAATAATTATTATTCTCTCTTTTTAAATATTAAAATATTATTTTGTGAAGGTAATATATAACAACATAATAAATATTATTTAAGATAAAAATAAATATGTAATAATTTTATTAATTAGAATTAAAAAAAATATTTTTACCACTTATTTCTTAGAAAATTAACCACTTTAGATGCATCTTTAATTTAATTATCATAAAATTATAAAAATTTGAATGATTACATATTTTTTATTTGTTTATGATAAAATACTTATTTTAAAATATTTAAATCATTATAATGAAAGTAGGATGACTGAATGGAATAAGTCCAATGAGACAAATTAGTAATTTTAGTTTATTAACTTGTTTTGACCCGTTTTATCTAATTTGTCAAATTTGTCATAGACTAAGATTAGACCTGACTCAGAAATTCGTTTAAAAAAAATATGTATATATTAAAATTAAAATAAAAAATATTATATTAAAAACATATGTTGCAAAATAATTATTTTTAACTAAATGTGAAAAAAAATTAAATACTTTAAAACTTATTTATTTTACTTTTTAAAATTAATAAAATAATACATTATTTAATGTATACTTTTTAATTTTTAAAATAAAATATTATTATTATTATTATGGTTTTTTTTTACTAGACTCAGATTAGTTCTACTCCTATATATTCTCAGACGAAGAATCAAAGTTCTAAGTGTTTTTTAGAAAAAAAAATTGTGAATAAAATATTTTAATTTATGTATTTTTATTATTGTAACTTTTTTAATAATTAAATTAAAAGATGTATTCAAAATGGTTTTAAAATTTAATACTTTTAATAATAGTTACATTAAAAGTACAAGGATTATCATTATTTTACTTCATACGTAGAAAACCTTTTGTATTAAATAGACTTTTAAAGAAACTAATAGACTACACTTTAAATAGACCAAATATATTTAATCAAATTTTTATTCAACCTAATCTATCTCTATCCTAACAACACAAATATCAATATTTGCTATGCGCAATAAATAAAACCTAATAAATAAATAATGATAAATATACATTATTTTTCTACCTTATTTCCACTTTAATTTCTTTTTATACCTACTTTTTTTTTATTGAAAAAAAAAATCTCTCTCTTTTTATCCGCAATATTTTTGGAGTATCGTCATTTTACACAAACCAAGGTGGCAGAATAAAAGAAAAGTAGAAAATAAAAACTAGAACAATTAAATAATAAATCATTGTTGTGATTTGACCGTTTCTGTGTGCAATGGTGATAGGAAGATGATTGATTGAATTTCATGCGCCTGATGAGTGAATTATGGACTTCCCTGTCCATTCCATACACAACACAATATCATAACATTAATCAATTTTCTTTTCTCGTGATGTGTTTTGTTGGATGTGGGATTTGATGAGTGAGTGAGTGAGCCAGTGATGTCTGAAGGGTATTCCTGTGGCTGTTCCGACTCAGACTCTTCGTGCGGGTGTTGGTCCACCGCCGCCGCCGCCACCACCACCACCAGATCGGAGGCTTCAACCGAACTCAGACTCTACAGGGCCTTCATCTTCTGCGTCCCCATCTTCTTCACTCTCATTCTCCTCTTTCTCTTCTACCTCTTCTACCTCCGACCGCGAACTAGGCTCCATTGGATCACCCACTTTGGCCTTCCCAACAACGACGACAACCACAATGGCATCTCCACTGTAAGCAAAGTAACACTCTTTTTTGCCCACTTGGATTGATTCGCATTTCTTGCTGCTGAATTTGTTTCTGCGTCCTGCTCTGCCAGCCTGATTTGGGCTTGAACAAAGAACTCAGAGAGATGCTGCCCATTATTGTCTACAAGGAAAGCTTCTCTGTCAAAGATACCCAGTGAGTTCATTTTCTTTTATCATTGCCCCCCTTCATTTTTTTCTTCACTTGTTGTTTCCCCTTTCCTACAATATGAACTTGGGGCAAACTCAAAACCAAAAGTTATTTAGGTTGTTTTAGTTATTTCTCTTGTTCATGGGTGATTATACATACATATATATATATATATATATATATATATATATATATATATTCTTAGCTTCATCACTAGTTGGCTCCGATTCTGTTAATGTTGTAGTTGATGTTAAGTAAAATACCTAAGGACAGGACAAAGTTGCAGTGTTCTGGAGTTAATGTCAACTGTTGTCAGGAAATCTGTTAAAGAAATGTCCCAAATAATGCTTTAGGACTTGCTTGTGATGCCCTCCTCAGCTTTGAGTTTCATTTGTTGGACAAGGAAACCCTGTTATTTTAGCTTTCTTCATGTATTAGATGCTTTGTTGCAGATGCTCAGTGTGCCTTTTGGACTACCAGCCAGAGGATAGGCTGCAACAGATACCTGCATGTGGCCACACATTTCATATGAGCTGCATTGATCTTTGGCTTGCCACCCACACCACCTGCCCTCTCTGTCGCTTCTCCCTACTAACAATAGCTAAATCTTCAACACAGACATCGGATATGCAGGTAGATATCAGCAACTTCAATAATTTCGTACTGGTCCTTTTTCAACACTGAATTTTTATATACAATAGTTTTATGATTATTTAGTTGATAACTGTTTGTGAAGGAGTGCTTGCAAGTTACTACTTTGTCACCTACGGTTTTAATCTTCACCTTTTTTCAAGTCCACATGTCCAGCTTTGATGAGAAATCAATGAAATATACCTTTTAAAAATTATAAGTGTAAACATACTCACATAATGGATGCATATAATTCAATATTGATATATCCGCGTCTAAATCTTTCTAATTTTCTATAAAGAAAGTATTAAATAAAAAAAAAGTAAATGCATTTTAATGTCTTGGAAATATAGAGGAGGATTCATGGGAAGATACTGTAGGAGACTTTAGAATTGTTCATAATATTAGATAAGGGGTTTTTCTCAATAATACTGGACTGTTTATTTAGATCACTGATGAATGGCCATGCATCATTCATATACTGACAACTGAAACAGTCACAGAACAATGAAGAAACACAAGCCATAGAATTATCTGAATCAAGATCTACTAGGCATCTAGAAACCACTGTCCTCCAAAATGTCTCTGGAGAAGTTGCAATCAGCGCTCACTGCATTGATGTTGAAGGGCAAAATGTGCAAGACGAATAAGAGCTAAAAAGCATCATGACATAGAAACTCTTTATGGTAAATTTTTTGCTTTCTTTTTCCTATTTATTGCAATCAATGTTTGCACCTTAATTGAACAAACAATGACAAAGCTATAACCTGCTCTACTTTTCCTCTGTATGGTTTACTATAAGATAGCTTCGTCAGTTGGTGAGAGTTGTGTATATGAGTTATCAGTGTTTTTTTTAAATTCAGTCATGTAGAAGGTTGCATGAAATTATCTGTTATGCACTAGACTTTATGCTAAATGCATGTTTGATGAAAAAAGCAATTTCTTAGGTTAATTTTCTCAACCATTAGTGTTTTATGTTGGGAATGGACTTAATGAAAGAAATAGTGACAAGATCTAAGAATATTGTCTCAACCTGAAAACAATCATAAATTGAAAGTACTGTAGATTCCTAGAGACAAATCATCCGAATAGCTCCCTTGACTGATAGGATAGATGAAGAACACAGTAGGAGAGGCTGCAACATGAACTGAACATGCTACAGCAATCAAAGGACAAAAACTAAGTTCCCACTCGTGACCCATGTAGTAAGCGTATGAAGTGTAAGCAATTAATTCTTAATGATAAAAGTTACAAAAGAGAACTACAAAAGGGGATGAATAGTATGAAGGAATGACAATATTGAATTTATTTATTTATTAATATTGTAAAATGGTTTAAAGCCTTAGAAACTATTGTCTACTTTTCATAGGAGGGATTTGTTTACAATCAAAAGGGAAATTTGAATGTGAAACTTCATATAACATTGTGTTGTACTACTGTGGTTACTTGAGTGATGCATGGGATATATTTTATCTTTTGTGTATTTAAAATAAAATACATGTAAAGTTTGTTTTGTGCTTCAATTACTTATATGACATTCTGAGATGAAAAGCTAATTTTTTGTATTTATTGAAAGTTTGTTGAAGAAACTTACATTTGCATTAAGAGTCCATGCGTGTTTCAGATATATATATATATATGTATGTATGTACGCGCGCACGCGTGCTTCAATTACTCATATGACATTCTGAGATGAAAAGCTAATTTTATGTATTTATTGAAAGTTTGTTGAGGAAACTTATATTTGCATTAAGAGTCCATGCGTGTTATTCCTTCCATTCAAATAATAGTCTCTTTAGCTTTAATTATTTTCTTAAATAATAGTCCTTTTAATTTTTTTAAGCTATTTTTTTCTAAATACTCCTACATTTAATAAAAAAGTAATTAATACAGTTAAGACTTGCATTTGAAAGAGACATTTGAAATAGACAAAAAAAATAGTTAAAAAGTTTAGGGTATTTTTTACCAAATCTTTATTACTGTGATTATTGTTTATTTAGTATGTCACTCCCTTAAAATACTATTATTTAGGGGTGAGGGTTGTAAAACATTTTTATTGCACTCACAGTCTTTGTGTGCTCAAAAGAGGAAATAGAATGAAGATTCTCAATTCAAACAGGCTTTATGTTTCAGGATAAGGTAGAAGTTAGGCTTTGATAATCTCTACGATTGTTTTAAATGCTTGGCTTTTATAAATCTTTACTTTTAAGGCAAAACAACAGATTATTAAGTTGATTTACCTCTCTTTGTACTTATCTGTCTTCGGCTCATTCATGAAACTTGAATATGATCATTAGTTAATTCATGATTCTCACTTTACATAGGTGTATCATGTTCATAATCACTTCTATTATCAAAATGATGAAATCCAGATATATTGGCAAACTTGGATTTTCCAACTCATTTGAAGCCCTCCAGAGTATGCACAAAAATCTGCATAGATTGATACTTCAGCAAGAAATGTCTTCATTCGGGGGTACATTTGATGGCACATTTGAATTGACTCCTAATTATTGTAACTTATGGTTCCCTGAATGAATGGATCTTTCAAGCATTATAGTTTACTTCACAAGTGAAAAGTATCTTCTTTTCATCTTTTTTTTTCTCAGTGAAATGCAAAAGGGTTTGTTGGTAAAATTTAAACATTTAACCTTACTAAGAATGACCAAATGTAACAAAATTAAGCATACTCTCTAATCTAATTTTGAAACATTTAAACTGAAAACCAAACATAGTCTTACGTGGCCACTTTCATGTAAAACTTACGTGTTTTATATTTTTTTATTATATTTGCGTTTTCATTCGATTGGGATGAAGTTATTGTCATAATTGAATGATAATTTTTCCTACAACGTAGATTTTGTAATAAATTTTGAGAAATTAAAGACTGGTGTTCTCAAGAACACTCTTACTGCCTCTTTTATTATTCTCAATTTTGTTCTTAATTTCTTGATGTTTTACCACCACGAAGTTCATTTATTTATTTAGAGCATTTATCAACAAGAAGATTTATTAGATAAAAACAACCAACCTCCTCCGGATAATGTTAATACGTCTACCTAAGTCCCAAGTTGAAGTGCATTAATTCATACAGGAGTCCAAAATACACTAAGATAAAAGCATCTGTAACGAAAGTAACTCGTTGAGAAAAGTAAACTTTTTTAGCAATTCCAAGTAGCATGTCAAAATATCTATGAAATAGAGTTTTAATCAACCATTGTTTAGCCTTAGCAACTTTCAAGCACATCAAGCTTTAAGAAGCTCTGATTAACGTGTACATATGTTGGTATTCCCAATGCTGGAATGAGGCCTAAAGCTATTGAATCATATGGTGTGAATTCACACGCCAATTCAAAGAATTATGACCAAACTTTACGCACAACTTCTTTACGGAAAGGAGATTGAACCTGGGTGCACTGTAGAAATTTCGACCCCGTACTGGGGTGTCCGTTTCCCATTTATTTTGTGAAAGAAGACAAAATCACAAACAATTATTGAAATTCCAGAGCAACGTTGGACCCTTAACTGAGGTGTTAAGGCGACATAAAGTAGTGTTGATCGATACAGGGAGGTATGAGTAAGACCCCTCCAAGTAGTATAAAAAGTGATTATTGCATTGGATGTTATTCATCTACAACTAAAAATGATGAGTAAGATGGGTTCCATGAGCTCCTTGGTGTTTCTCTTTGCAGTTGCAGCACTGAGTGTATCCCCTCAAGGGCTTGCTGGCTATGTGAAGCCCCCAGTAAAGAAACCACCGATTTACAACCCCCCAGTTGAGCAACCACCTCACTATGGCAAGCCACCATTTGGAAAACCACCTGTTTATGAACCACCAACTGAGAAACCCCCAGTTCAAAAACCACCACATGTGCAGCCACCATATGGGAAGCCACCAGTTCATGAGCCTGAATATGTGAATCCACCTCTTCACAAGCCACCAGTCCACAGTGCACCCCCAGTTCACAAGCCACCCCACCCGAAGCACCCTCCAACATATGACACTCGTTTCTGAATCTCAACTTTGTTTGCCAATGAAGTATCCGTGTGTTAAATAAGAGGTTGTGTGACAACCATTGTGATGCTCAGAATTAAGTTATGTATTATGGCCAAAACTGTGTCTGCTTTGTATTTCATCAATAAAACATATCTGTCATGTGTGTGCGTCATTATCTTCAAATATTTGTTTTCTATCAGTGTTATCTTTCTATTAATTGGTAATTAAAGATGTTAAAACGACAATTTAGTCAAGATTCATATATATGCTTCATTTTTTTCGCTGACCAAATCACGTTACACTGGTATGGAAGATTTTTTTTTTAACTTTTTTAATCAATGTTGAAATTTCTTCCTACAATTCAACAAATAAATTTATAATCCTTCTTGTCATTTTATAAGAACAAATTAATAATTCACAAAAACTAATTTAGTTAGTAGAATTAATTTTTACTTTGCCTTTTAATCTCTCCCATTAATAATATATATATTTATTATTTTGAATATTTGTGCCATGCATGTAAATAAGTAGAGTAAGATTCTCAAAATACTTGAATGCAACTTCCAAAAAATCTAAAATATTAATGTATCTCAAATTGGCCTTCTCACTCATTTCAGAGGGGTGTTTCCTTCTTCTCTTGTTGATCCATGGTATCAGAAAGAGCCATTCCTCTGGTCTCTGGCAAACCCAACAGGGTGAAAGTGGAGCAAATTATAACCACTCCAAACACCCCATAAGAGAAAAGGTCGTTCTTCCTCCCCGCAGATATCAAAAACGGGCTGAAAATGCAACCAAACATCACAGCTTGTCTCGCAAGTGATGCTGTAGTGTTCCTCACGCATGTCGGAAACAGCTCTATGATGAATATGAGAAACACGTTGAAAGCAGTGCATGCACAGAAAAACGATGCCACTGCCAGCCACACCTTAACACTTTGTGGTCCACTGCGTATGACCACGCACACTATGCTACATATCCCACTGCCTAGTGAGAATGCAAGAATGGATAACTTTCTTGAGCAGTTTCCCAAGAAATAGATCACCCCGCAAGAGAGTATTTCCATCAAGGCATTGAACACAACTGCGAGGTAAATGTTGTAGTCCAAGTTTCCCACTGCCAGTGGCATGCCAAAATACACCATTCCAATGCCTAAACCTAGCCCCATAACTGACACCATTCGTTTTGTAGCCCAACTTGTTTTGAACAACATTGCTATTGATGAGTAGAGTTGAGAAAATGAAACCCCTTCTTTTTGGTTTTCTCTCCTTTCAAGATATCTCTGTTCTGTACATGATAGAGTACCAACTGTGGACATATCTGTTGGTGAAACACTAATTTCTTCTGCTAGACTTAATCTTTGTTGGTGTGAAGCCGATTGTTTAGGAGGCTCTTTTGGTAGGTTTCCAGTTAAATTTGCTACATTTTCCGGAACTCCTTTAAGCATTGTCATTGCTTCTGTCACTCGACCTTGCATGAGAAGCCACCTTGGAGACTCGGTGACAAAAAGGTAAGCAATGAGAGAGTAAGAAATAGCAGGAACCGAAGTCCACAAGTAAAGATATTTCCATGGCGAATTTCTGTTGGCATAAGCTACACCCGTCAAGAACATGCACCCTGATGTGAAGAAGAAAAACTCTATAATCCCCACTGTGAACCTCCACTTGGTGCTCACTTTCTCCGTGAGTAACACCAAGCAACATGTTGAAATTGACGATCGACAAAACCCAATGAAGAATTTCAAGGCCGAGTAGATCCAAACGTTGGTGGAGAAGATGATGATGAGTGACATTATGGACATTGATAAACAAGAAAGAATGATCATGTTCTTTCTTCCCAAAGATGAATCGGCCAAGGAGGCTAAGAGGAAGGAACCAAGAAGGCAACCAATGAAGAAAGAGGATTGGGGTAAACCTGTGATGAAGTTGCTGGCACATTCAAGGCCAAACTGTGATATGATTGTCTTAGAAGAAGGTCCATCCCAAGCCCAAGATGACTTTGGGAGCTTGCAGATGTCAGAATGTGAGGTGCATGTTGTGCTGTGGTTGGTGCAGTGCCATGTTGGGTAATCATCAGTGTAGATTGCTATGAATAATTGCTGTGCATCGAAGTACATTGCCACTGACACAAGGATGCTTTGAAGGAACTGTGTCCACCCAAAGTTTCCCAAACCCCTCTCTATCATTTCATCTAGTGACATAATCATGTTCTGTTGCTGAACAGAATCAGACTTAGTTGCATCTTTAACCGAATCTTCCATTTCAATCCTGTGTTACTGATACTAGAGGCAGAGGGTTCGCAGGATGAGGGATGAGTGTGAGATTTACCGCATTACAATTTTTCTCTGGCTTGATGAAAGCTGAGATAATGGTTTGAGAATAAATAAGGATTTCAAATCAGAATATAGTTTTGTTTTCTTAAAACGGAAAATATCAAGAACTCTTTATTTATGTTATTAGGATAGTAACTCCTGGCGATGAAAGGTCAAGATAAAGGTTATTGGGTTTGTCCTTTCTACTATGCATGCTGTCTAAAGAGAATGATCTATGATGTCTTTTGGAGTTACTCAAGAGTGTAGATTCAGTTTTGGCTGGATAGACATGGAATGAGTATTTTCGGTGTCCTTTGTGCTTCTGCATTGTTGCATTGCATTACTTGCTAGCTAGGCCTAAAAGATGAAAAGTTTTTAAAAATGGTTGGATCAAGCAGAAGACAAAATTGCTTTGATGATGCAGAAAATCTCCTCATTCACATCCTGTTGGTGTGGAACAAATCAGAGAAACTGATAATGGCAGGGACAAAATCATTATTATTGTTATATTATATATATACATAGGATTTCCATTAATGCATTTGGCTACAACAGATTCGTTTATAGATATGAAGATTTGATCATTTCTTACCAATCAGACACATCAAAATAGATCACAATCAACACAACAAGTCAAACAATAGTCTAAATATTTCTGCCTCCCAATCCACCTAGCTGTTCTACACTTTGAGATGCATGATTACAAGTAAATAACATTTAATTAGCTTGTACAACTTTCGTCCAAAGACCATCTTTCCCATTCCAATTCTCCACCTCCATTTGTCAAACAGAACTTTGTTACACTCATCCAATTTATTTTCCAACGCCAACAAGTTTATGCAATTTAAGATGATATTTGTATCCTTTCATCTATTTATTTATATATATATTTATATTATAATACTAAAAGTATAAACATTTTCACCTTATAAAGTTTAATTTATATATATATTTTCAACTTAAATTATTTTTATATGAATATCAACTTCTTTCACCCCTATACAGCCATTAAGAAAAATGAAAAATCTTTATCAACAATTTTATGTTATTATTACACATATGTTATAAACATTTTCCAGCACCCACATCATATAACATTCCAATTCTTCTAACTTTTTTTTTAACAATTAAAAAATAAAATAAAAAATCATTTTGATAAATTTCAATCCTTTTATTAATTTGATCCCTTTATTAAATTCAAAAAGATACAAAATCATCTAATAATAAATTTAGATATAAATAGAAATTAAAATTACCTATTTTTAAAAGTTAAAGGAAAATGATCGGAGTAATTATAAAAAATATTTCTTTATTTTAAAATATATGTACAATTTAAATTTAAATAAATTATAGATGTTTACAAAACAAATTAAAAATGTTAAAATATAAGTATAATTTTAAGAAGAAAAAAATATACGCAGCTTTGTACGGCTACAAATGTACTGTTTTAGGGTTCCTCACTCACTCCAATTCTCACTATATAAAGCGACACTTCTCCCTTGCCTTGTGCCCTATCTCTTCTTCTTAACCTCTGCATATGAAGTTAGGGTTTCTCATTCCTTTCTCTTCAACTTTTCTACTCCCAGTTCAACATACGCTTCTCTATCTGGTCGGTGCGGATTACTTCCATTCCCATTCGACTCGTTCCCTTGAAGCAATAGCCATATGTGTTGTTCTATGTTTTCCTCAATCCCTTGGTTTTGGGAGCTTAATTGAGCAACTAAATCCAATTTTCTACGAAAGTTTTTTTTTTTTCGTGGTTTTGCGCTTTTTGGTCGATTGAATGACGGGGGTTGCGCTATTTTCAACTGTGATGAGCCTACAGACCTGTAATGATTTGCGGCTATGATCGCAAATATAATTGAACATCTAAGGGACTGAGTTGTCTATTTTTGCTCCCAGATTTTTATTCTTAATTATTTTATTCTCATATCTCGACTTGTATAGAGGCATTGCATGAGAATTGGTTTATTGTTTGTGGCTTTGAAGCTGTCTTTATGGGTGTTGGTTACATCATGTGATGAAATTGGAAAAATCTTAGGACACCTTCCTACACAGCAAAACACTGCTGTGGATGAGAATGAATTTTCCATGCTGATGATGTACTTAGTTTCTCTTTTAATAGAAAATTTATTTGAATCATCAAGAAATTTAGGAGTTATGGTATCAATTCGGTTAATTTTCTATTTAACAATTCAATTAAAATGTTTCATAATTTTAATGCAAATTTTCTTGTTTTTGAGGGTGAAAAATAAAACAAATTAAGAAGTTCAAAGAAGAGAAACAGATAGAGTTGATGAAATATTATTAATAACTAATAAATAAATATATTATTAATAACTAATAAATAAATATATTATTAATAAATAATAAATAAATATTAAATATTAAATATTGAAAAAATATGAAAAATTATAAGAATATAAAAAGTAAAAAATCAAATTTCTAAATATAAAAATAGATCTAATTAATAGTTATTAATTTTTGAAGAGTTAAAATCATAAATCTTAATATTTTAATTTTAAATTATGTTTGGAACGTGAAAAGACAAAAAATGTTAAAACATATTCATTGATATTAATAGTGATATTTAATGATAAAGTCTAAAATAAAAATAGATTGAAAGAGTAAGATTGATTACTTTTTTATTTTTTATTTTTTTAAGTGAGGTTTGAAAAGCGTTAAAACATATTCATTGTCTCCCTCTTGTCTCTTTGGAAAGTTATTTCTAGTAAAGGGATACAATTTAATAATTTTTGCATTACAAATATTTTAAGTATATCAAGTGTTTTTGCTTTTAAGACCATATACATTTATTGAGTATTAAAGGTTGTCTTTTTATTATTAAATTTGTAAGTTTAACTGGAGTTAAAACAACGATTATCGGAAATTTAAATTATTTATTAATATAATGATATTTTTAACTTGTTTATTAAATTTAGTTGGTAATTATAATTTAAAAAAAATATTTGGGAGGGAGTGAATTGATCTACTCCTAAATTATTAAAAATAATAGAGAATATTTGTATGTATTGATTAAAATATTCGAAATATTATTTTATTATCTTTTATTTAAATTAGGTATTAAGAGATTTTATTATCTCTTAAGAGAAAAGGTAAAAAGACATTAAGTTATTATTTTGATTTAGAGCAGTTATGATTGAGATATTATTGATATTTGATATTTTGTAATATTTTTACTCTATAGTTATGATTGAGATATTATTGATATTTGATATTTTGTAATATCTTTACTCTATATATACATGGAGTACATGAATAAAAATATACCAAATATATATACACAAAACCCTTAAAATTCTCAACAAATTGGTATCTAAGCTTTGGTTCGACACAATGGAAGGTGAAAGAAATTTTTCACAAGTCGCTATTCCAGTTTTTTATGGCGAAAGTTATGACTTATGGGTTGTGAGAATGCAATCATATCTTAAAGGATGGGAAGTTGTAGAAGAAGAGTATATTGTTGATCCACTACCTGAAAATCCCACTATAGCTGAAATAAAATTTCACAGAGAAAGAAAAACAAGCAAGGCAAAAGTTAAATCATATCTGTTGTTTGTTGGTGTTTCACAAATGATCATCACCAAAATCATGACGCTAAAGTCACCCAAAGAAATTTGGGATTATTTGAAAGATCAATATGAAGGGGATGAGAAAATTCGAGGTATAAAATTTCTAAACTTGATAAGGGAATTTGAGATACAAAAGATGCAAGAGTCTCAAATACTCAAACAAATTGTTGGGTATTGCTAACAAAATAAAATTGTTAGACAAGGAATTTTCTGATTCCAGAATAGGTGAAAAAATTCTGGTAACTGTACTAGAGATATGAAGCATCAATTGCTTCATTGGAAAACACAAAAGATTTGTCTAATATTACTTTGGCAGAAGTATTACATGCTTTACAAGCACAAAAACAACGAAAATTGATGAGAGAAGATCATGTTGCTGGTGAAGGTTTTTTACTATATCATGATGGAAGTTTTGTCCAAGCCAAGAACAATAAAGGTACAAAATCACGAGTATTTTCTGTTTGTCCTTATTGTAAGAAAAATAATCACACACCCAACAAGTGTTGGTGGAGACCTGATGTGAAATGTCACAAATATGGTCAACTGGAATATATAGAAAAGATATGCAAATCACAACCAAAGAAAGTCGTTCAAGTTATAGAGGATAGAGTAGAAGAGGTACTTCTCCTTGCATCAACATGCTCTACAATCAACAAATTCACGTGTTGACTTATAGACAGTGGTTGTACAAATCACATTACTCATGATCGAAAACTTTTCAAAGAGTTCAACGAATCACATATTTCTAGAGTGAGAATCGGTAATGGAGAACAAATGGATGTGAAAGGTACATGAATAATTACAGTTAAAAGTCATATTCGAGTATCAAATTGATTTTTTATGTTTTATATGTTCCTGATATAAATCATAATTTGTTAAGTGTTAATCAATTATTAGAGAAAAATTATAAAGTATCTTTTGAACACAAACTTTGTGTGATTAAAGATACAACTAACTTGAAAATATTCAAAATTCACATGAAAAAAAAAAGTTTCACTTTAGATTTGATGAAAGAAGAGATGATTACAAATGAAGATATAAAAGGAAAGTCAAAGAAAAAACATGAAGAATATTTCTTGAAGAAACTTAATGTTAAGAAGGAAAATAAAGATATAGATGAAGAAACCGTTTTTAGTGTCCATCAAAGAGTCAACCGTACTACCATGAAGTTTGAAAAAAACAAAAGAGATGAAGTTGATAAAGGAAGAAATATTTTGATGAAAAAAGTAAAGTTGAATGAAGATGTGATCTCTTACAAGAAAGAAGATGACAAGAAGTACAAAAAAAGAGGAGAAATTATAAGCAAAATAAAAAAAAAATTATCAAATTCAAATAAATAGATATTAAAGTAAGGAGAAATATTGAGAATATTATTTTATTATCTTTTATTTAAATTAGATATTAAGATATTTTATTATCTTTTAAGAGAGAAAATAAAAAGATATTAAGTTATTATTTTAATTTAGACAGTTATGATTAAGATATTATTGATATTTTATATTTTATAATATTTTTACTTTATACATTAGAAATATAAGCATACTATATATCAGAAAAAAAATATATATATATATATATATATATATAACCCTTAAATTTATCAACAAAGAAAACATGACACTGACGAGGAGTCCATGGTCTTCTTCAAATTCGAGTTTTCTGAGAACTACACACAATTCAACTTTCACTTACCTCCTGCTTAATATCTTCTTCCATGGCTGCCATTGAAGAGCTTGCTGATTCAATGCGCAAACCCGTGCCGGATCCTAACTCTACGGTCTGTATACTCTCAACACCATATACATTTTTATTATTTTCACTATTCTCATTATATTTTGCAAATGCTACCTATTTCTTCACTATTTATCATAATTACCAATAAAATAATCCACCTTCCTTTTGATAGAATCAACATTTTGCTGTAAAAACAAGTACACAATTTGATTATGATTTTGAAAAAAAAAAAATTGAATTTATTTTTAATTTTTGTATTCGCTATTCAAGGTGCTGATTGGTGAAGCAGCACTTGTAGATCATTTTTGTCTCCATAACCCTGGGCCTCTTGTTACCACAGACGCAGAATAGAGATGGGAGATTGAGTTCCAATTTTGATATGAAGGAAAATTTGATTCGGTATTCGGAGGAAATGATGGAGAATGGTTTGCGAAAATTTGGGTGGTCGGGGATGGTACAATGCATCCTTGTGTCGAGTGCAATGTACTTTGATGCACAGCAATCCTTCATGGCCATCTACTCTGACGACTACCCAACTTGGCACTGCACAGATCTCACCACATGCACTTCTCATTCCAATATCTGCAACATTCCAAAGTCATCTTGGGCATGGGATGGACCCTCTTCTAAGACAATCATATCAGAGTTTGACCTTGAATGTTCCAGCAGCTTCATCACCGGTTTACCCCAATCGTCTTTCTTCCTAGGTTGCTTTCTTGGTTCCTTTCTTCTTGCCAGCTTGGCTGACACATCTCTTGGAAGAAAGAACCTCCTTATTCTCTCCTGTTTCTGTATGTCCTTAGCTTCTATTATGATTGTTTTCTCAACCAATGTTTGGACCTACTCAGCTTTGAAGTTCCTCATTGCCTTTTCGCGTTCATCCGTTGGAACATGTGTTTTAGTGTTACTCACGGAGAAAGTGAGCACAGAGTGGAGGTTCACTGTGGGGATTGTTGAATATTTATGCTTTACTTTGGGGTATATGGCCTTGCCTGGAATAGCTTATTTAAACAGAAATTCCTCGTGGAAATCTCTTTATGTGTGGACGTCCGTTCCTGCTATTTGTTATTCTCTGTTTGCTCACCTTTTTGTTACTGAGTCTCCAAGGTGGCTTCTCATGCAAGGTCGAGAACAAGAAGCCATGGCAATGCTTACAGGAATTTCTAATTATTTAGTAGAAAATGATCCTAATTTGACTGCAAGCCTACTAAAAGTTCCTATTGTCAAACAAAATTCTTCAATTTTCCAACTGTACTCATCAATAGCAGAGTTGTTTGAGAGAAGTTGGGCTCTCAAACGGACGGTAGCAATTATGGTGCTTGGTCTTTGGGTTGGCATGGTGTATTTCGCCATGCCTTTGGCCGTGGGGAATTTGGGATTCGACATTTACTTGGCCGTTGTGTTTTATGCTTTCTTGGAAATACCCTCTTGTGTGGCCACATACTTCTTGGAAAACTACAGAAGAAAGCCATCTATTCTTGCATTCGCAGTAGCTAGTGGGATATGCTGCATATTGTGTGCGATCGTTGGCACTGGGCTGCAAGTGGCTAAGGTGGGGATATCATTGGTAGCATTTTTCAGTGTTGTCACGGCTTATAATGTGTTTCTCCTTTACATCATCGAGCTGTTTCCCACGAGTGTAAGGAACACCACCACCTCATTGGTGAGGCAAGCCGTTGTGTTTGGTAACATATTTAGCCCATTTTTTGTATCTGCGGGGAGGAAGAATGATATTTTCTCCTATGGCCTGTTTGGAGTGGTTATAATCTCGTCCTCTTTGGCTTTGCTCTGTTTGCCAGAGACCATAGGAATAGCTCTTTGTGATACCATGGATCAACAAGAGATTAAGGACAAGATATCTGCGCCAAATGTTTAACTGGGTAACCTTATGTTGCTTTTGTAGGTTCAGTGTGTTTGCTCCATTGCTAGGAAATCTATATTGACTCCATTTTGAAGTAAAAAATTTTAAGCCATGCTATATGCTACGGATTCCGATATTGAAAACTTTAGACTAAGTTCTACTTTTTAGTCTATCAACTAATTTTTTATGTTCTATTTAACTTCTAAATAAATTTAGTCAGTTAAACTTCTAATAATATTCGTTTGGTCCTTTTGACAAATATTTATTTCCATTTTGACTATATTTTCTTTAAATGAAGAAAAAAATAGTTGAAAACTTTTGGAATATAGTTAGAAAATACAAATCATAAGTCAAGAAACCATTCAGTTAGTTTTTTTCCAAACTGATGTACAGCAGCAGTATCTAGATCAATATGAACAACTAAATTCACAGCCTACTGAAGTTTCGTGTTCTCTTATTACTTACTTACTGCGATTGTGTATTCCTCTCCACAAGCACATTTTAACACATGACGAATCTCCTGTAAAATCAGATGCATATCCATGAGTGCAAGCGAAACAATTGAGGAAAATAAATACATTGATAAGTTTCATTGAATATTTTCACTGGATTATTCCTATTTAACGCCCTGCTTTTTCCTATTTGGATCAAACTTATTTTACCTTAAGTTTCTCAACTTGTTTCTCTAGAGATTGCAAGTATTCAGTTTCTCCAGCTTTATCTGACAAAATTGCTTTATATTCCTCTTCAAGAGCAGTTATACCTGCTGCTTTCAACTCGGGCTAGCGTAGCTCATTCATTAGAGTTAAATAAAATAATTTACAAAATCATTGATTAGAAAAGCCACATTATTGCTTACCCCAATACGAAGAGAAAAGAAAGTAGCTTACAAATTAAAGATCTAAAATAAATCAATGTATAGGGGAAAACTGATACATAAAATGGAAATTGTTTTCCACTTGCCCGTCCTAATATAGGAAAAATTTGATCATTAATAATTCTTACAAAATAACAACAAACCTTAAACTCGTTTTCTCTGCACTTCACATCCTCAAAAGCCAGTTTTACCTAAAGACAAAAAAGACATTATAGTAAGAAGCAAATAAAGTATACAGAAAATATAAAAATCATAGCATATCATAAATCAAAATACTCCCATTCTTATTTTCTTGAAAGAATTGAAGGGTGGAAAAGAAATCCTAGCATACAAGACTTTACACCCGTAATTACGCTTCAGGCTCATTTTTTTGCATCCCTATGTTTGTAAAAATCAATCAACGACTATTTTAATAAAATTATCGAGGGGAAAATGGCTGCATCTAATTAACTTTGTGAAAACTTGAAAATTCGCAATTTTGAGAAATAACTTTTGCCAACCAGTAAAAGAAAATATCAATTCAGTTAAGGAGAACTTAGCCCGTAATTAGATGAACGCACCATTTAAATAGAATGAACCACAATTGGAGAAACAAAGACAAAATTGAAGAAGTTTCTTTGTTTGTGACTCTTAATGTTTTAATTAAAGAGCATGTGGGCTAATGTGTCGGTGCAATTCCATTTGTATAAGGTTCATTTTCCAAAAATATTCATCAAACTTCGAAGACACTAAATATATTTAAATTAGAAGATTAACATATTTTTCAGATGCCAGAATTCAGCCTTAATCACCATTTATCATGTACATATTATCATAATCAATTATTTACTTATTTAATATTGTATTCTAAAGAATATGATTATCTTACTATGATTATCATTGCAATTTTTAGGATTTTATATATATATATATATATATATATATATATATATATATATATATATATTTCTGACATATGAAAATATATCTTATATGAGTATATTTTTATTCATTAATATATATATATATATATGAAATAAAAATATTACAAAATATAAAATATTAATAATATAGCAATCATAATTACTTAAATCAAAATAGTAACCTAATATTTATTTATCTTCTTTCTTAAAAGATAATAAAATATCTTAATACCTAATTTAAATAAAAGATAATAAAGTAATATTTTCAACATTTCTCGCTTCCTTTACTATCTATTTATTTGAATTTGATATTCTTCTTTTTATTTTGATTGAAATTTTTTCTCTTTTTTTGTTTATACTTCTTATCATCTTCCTTCTTGTATGAGATCACATTTTCATCCAACTCCACTTTCTTTATCCAAGTATTTCTTCCTTTATCATTATCATTTTTTGTATTTCTTTCAAATTTCATGGTAGTACTTTTGACCCTTTAATAGAGTTGGAAATAGTTTCTTCATCTACATCTTTATTTTTTTTCCTTACCATCAAGTTTCTTCAAGGAATATTTATCATTTTTTTTACTTTTCTTTTATATCTTTATTTGTAGCCAACTCTTTTCTCCAATAATTGAGCAACACTTAACAAATTATTATTAATATCAAGAACATATAAAACATCAAAAGTTAATTTGATACCCAAATGATTTTTAATTGTAATTATTCTCGTACCTTTCATATCCATTTATTCTCTATTACCAATTCTCAATTTAGAAATAACAGATTCGTTGAGCTCTTTGAAAAATTTTCAATTATGAGTCATATGATTTGTACAAACACTGTCTATAAGTCAACACGTGGATTTGTTTATTGTAGAACATGTTGATGCAAAGAGAAATTCTCTTTCTACTCCATCCTCTATAACATTGATGACTTCTTTTGGTTATGATTTGCATATCTTTTCTATATGTCCCAATTGACCACATTTGCGATATTTCACATCAGGGCTCCACCAAAACTTGTTATGTGGGTGATTTAATTTTCTTACAATAAGGACAGATAGAAAAGACACGTGATTTGGTACGTTTGTTTTCTAGGCTTTGAGAGAACCTTCACCATAATATAGTAAAGAACTTTCAACAGCAGCATGATCTCTTCTCATCAATTTTTGTTGTTCTTGCGCTTGTAAAGCATGTAGTACTTATGTCAAAGTAATATTAGACAAATATTTTATGTTTTCTAATGAAGCAATAGATGTTTCATATCTCTCTGACACAATTATCAGAATTTTCTCAACTATTCTGGAATCAGGAAATTCCTTACCTAATAGTTTTATCTTGTTAGTAATACCCAATAATTTGTTTAAATATTCATTAATTGTCTCAAACTCTTTCATCCTTTGTATCTCAAATTCTCTTAACGTCATAATTTTGGTGAGGATCATTTGTGAAACACCAGCAAACTGACATGATTTACCTTTTGTCTTCCTCGTTTTTTTTCTCTATGAAATTTCATTTGAGCTATGGTGAGATTTTCAGGCAACGAGTCAATAATGTAATCTCCTTCCACAGTTTCTCGTACATCTAATATTTTAAGATAAGATTGCATTCTCACAGCTCAGCTCATAAATCATAATTTTTGCCATCAAAAATTGAAATAACAACTTCTGAAAAACTTCTTTCTCCTTCCATTTTTCTTAAGAACCAAAGCTCTTGATATCATTGATGAAAATTTTTTAAGTTTAGCATGTACGTGTATTTCTAACATGAAAATATATTTCATATGGGTATATTTTTAGTCATGTACTCTATATATATATATATATATAGAGTAAATATATTACAAAAATATCAATTATTAATAATATCTCAATCATAATTACTTAAATCAAAATAATAATTTAATATCTTTTTATCTTTTCTTAAAAATAATAAAATATTTTAATACCTAATTTAAATAAAAAGATATTGAGATCCACCTTGTGTATAAGTTGGAGAAAACGGAAATGGAAAAAGGAAGGAAAGAAGGAAGGTTATTTTGGAACACACGTATTTCCAAAAATTAGGAGGGACCAGGAGAATTTAAACTTCATTGAACTTAACAACCGTAAGCTTGAGTAATTTATATTTCACAACCTAAAAAGGATTCAGGCAAGTAACCTTGTTGATCTCGGTAAGAACATTGGCTTTCAGAGTAAGAATCTCATCAAGCCTTGCTTTAGCCGAATCCAATTCAGTGATTAAATTCCTCCTTGTAACACTCCCCTGTCAAACAAAGATAAATCAGCAGATTCCAACTCCATGTAGTATATATTGATGAAAGAAGTGGTCTACCACGTTATCCCCGACAAGGTTAATCGCACCAGTCTTCCCTGCAAGTTATGAAAAGAAAGCTAGGATATGAAATTTAGTTTTAAAAAATGGAGCCCATTAGTTTAATAGAAAAAGAAAAAATAGACATCTGATTCCGTGTTCAGTCTTGACAAAACCAAGGTATCCCACTCGTTACTGATTTTGTTACAGCTAGCAGATATCAGTAGGTATTCATGGGATGTTTTGAATTTAAACATAAACTGCTGAGCCAAATGCCAATGGTTTCCAATCTGAGAAATTAAAACAACCCATATCATCTTATGGAACCAGTCCAACAATGCGATAGACGGTCACAACTCTAATGCCTCTTGAAATTCATTTACATTTTTTTTTATCATTCGTTGATGTTTAAATTCGTTAAAAGTTATTTAAACATGTTTATTAATCGTTTTCAAAAAATTGCTTTGGTAGAAGAAAGCAAAGAAATAAATTCTCCTGAAATTGTTGGCGGAGTTGAAGAGTCATTTTCCGTAAGATTTTGTGTCAAACATCACGCTAAAGTTTAGAGCAATGCCTTCAGCTTTACTTATTTGTCCAGCAACCTTTCCGGTGACCTTTATAAATTCAAAACGAAAGTGAGAATGTATCAGAAAAGCATATAAGTCAAATAATTAAATAAATAAAACCTGAGAATGGGAGGAAGTTTCTTTGCTTTATTCTTCCTTTTAGTCAATAATTTATGGGACAAAGTTATATCATATCCCAATAAAGTATTAAACAAGCAAGCTCAATAAGTTTGCTCAAACACATTCCAAGGACTCTTATTTTCAGAGGAACTATAGGATATATGTGGGGGTAGTCCTGATAAATTGTTTATGATTATTCGTAAAAATAAGATAAGTCATACCAAATCATGCTTTTTCAGTTCCCTGCTAATCTTCTGAGTACTACTGACCCATTCCTGCCAAAGATTTCTTTTCAGTACAAAGTTGCAATTAACTGAATGAACTCGCATGAAAATTAAAGCAGAGCTTATAACAGGATAGAATTAATGGGACAAGGATGCTGGAAAATAGATTTACTCAGGGAATAAAAAGTAATCCCTCGGGATTTGAATATAGGAAAAGATGAACTAATATCAAGGGGATCAAAAATGTTTTTGGAAATAAAATCTAAATTAAATAAACGATATTTATGGAGAGATTTTTTAGTGAAATTGTAGCATTGTACTCCTGTGATTTCCAATGCAAGTCAACATAATCTTTAATAAAAACTTTTTTATTTATTGATTCCTTCCTGCACTTGTTAGCAGGGTCCTTTTATTGAATAGAACAAAATTTGTTAAAATTGGTTGGTTCCAACCTGATTGCACTCACTCCCAATTCTCGTAGAATTGTGGAGGAAACCGAACAAGAAAATTCTTATTAATCCCTCAAATTCTGCACAATTGGGTCTATTTATAATTTAGGCTTCCAATGGATATAACCTTTTTTCGCGCTCAAAATAGCTTGTTTTCTAAACAAAAATAACTACTAATATTATAATTAATCCTATTTTTAGTTCTCTTCCCTTCCTGTTATTACAATACACTTGTATATTAGAAAGTGGATACAGTGATACAAAACTCTTGTTAGGACAGACTCTATACCATATTAGAAGGTTGATGACTTAACATTAGAAAACTGAATTGCCCGGTGAAGTTTACAACTTATTTAAATACTACGATTTAACCATACAGGATTTCGTTGCGGCACGACTCCTTCCTTATGTGGCATGACTTCTTTATCGTATAACTTCCCTTTGATTTTTCCCTTCGAGTAGTGCTAAGATCATTGTGTTGGGTAAAAAGCCATTGCGTTTCGGATGTTAGCTCTTTTGCTCACAATATGGTAAGTAAGGGGTTGGACATGTTGGAGTTTGAGGTGTCCATTTAATCGCCAGAGTCAAAGCAGAAGGGAATGGCAAAGTGGAGATCAAGGCTAAGAGTGGAAGTCAAGAAGTGTAGGAGGCAGGCGCCGGAGACGGGGAGGAGTGCAATGTCACTGGCGATGACAGAGGCAGACTAGGAGGAAGGAGTTGGAGAGATCTAATGGGTAGACAAAGATGTGCATTGTAGTCCACAAATAAAGGTGGTTAGGTGGTCTACGATAGAACTCATTTTTTTATTGTGTATGTGTGTGTAATGGCACTCAATATTTATAGACAGCTGTTTGTCTAGTTCACTGGTGTAATTTTGACTCAAAATCAGAGAAACCATTCTTCCATGCAGAAATATGTAAATGTATTTCAAATGGAATTATTTCTCAAACATAATATTAATAACCCCTTTGAGGTCAACATTTGTCGCTAAATGTTCACTTCTTCTCAGATATTACTTCATGCACTGGCCTCTAGAAGTCAAATACCAATAACAAAGAAGAATAATGAAAGTCAACCTGTTGCTTCTGTAATTTGGCATTCATGTCCTCTGCAACCTTGTTATAGTAGGCTCTGAAAGAGTAAAACAATTTAGATGAATATGCATCGAATGTGTGAGATAATTCCCAAAGTATCTTCAGTTACCTCTTCTCTGAAAGCTTGAAAGATAACCCAACTCTCTCTTGCTGAATAAGCTCCAAAGTCTGTTGGTAGAGAGTCAAGGAAAACCAAGAAATAATGTAGATTTATAAAGCTCTCACATCAAATCTCCACATAAACTCTAGACATGGAAAATACAAATTTTAATTTAAAATTAATTTTACTTTATTGTTGCAGGTATACATAGCTACCACATTTGAGTTTTGTGTATCAAGTTAATGTGTACAAGTTTAAGAGGAATGATCGCAAGACTCCCTGACACTCTTTTTAAACTCTCTTTATGATTGGTTGAAATTTATTGAAACCACCGATATTGATAGGTCTCAGAGCAGTAGAGAGTCGTTAAGTAAGAAATTGATGACTGAACATGTAGATGAAATACACAAAATTATGCAAGCTTCTAGAGAAGGTAAAGATTCTCCAATAAATTAAAATTAATTTATACATTAATTAAAATCAGCATTGCAAAATAAACTTAGTTCTTTTTTACTTTCTTTTTTTCTACTATGAATGATTACTGAGAAACTATGACAACAACAAACATATCGCGCTCTCCAATAGAGTAGGACCATTCATTGGTCGCAGAAAATATTAAAGAGGTAGCAGCTCAATTTTAAAAAAAAAAAAAAAAACAAAACAAAACAAAACCAAAAAAATAAACAAAAGCTGTTCCAACACGTTCACAGTTAAGCCGCGTTGGTCAGTTTTAAAATGCAGATGCCGAAACTTCTGCTATGGAACCAATTGAGTTAGACCTGGGAGAGTTTGATTGTGTCAGACTCCAAAGTGGCAATCCTTTTCTGTTTTTCCAATATCTTCGAGCATATCTCGCCCTTTGCCGCCCTCATCTTCTCAGTGTCTTCCTTGAGTTGCGTAATTCCCGATTTTGCTGCACATTTAAGTAGCATAGCTACTTCAGTTCACATTATGCGTGATTTTTATACTGACAACTTGTTACAAACTTATAATTTATAGTTATATCGATGATGATTAATCAGTTCTTAGAAATTAAACTCTATAAATAAAATAATAATGAGGTTATAAGGGATCCTTGGTCATGAAAATGGAAAAATGGTGACCTGAGTCGATGTCGTTTTCCAAAGTGCGTACGTTGGTGAATTGCATTTCCTCTTCGACCGAAATCTTCGCCGCTTCATCTTCCACATCTAATTCAATTTCAGTTTGATTAAAACAAATAAATAAAGTAACAGTGAATGGATTCCGATTCCGATTGGCAGGGTACCGTTCATTTGAGAGCGCAGAGTCTTCATGCACTGCAAGTATTCTTCCATCTTCTTCCACCTTCTTCCACAATTGGAGAAACGAGACACGAGAATTTCGCCGTTAAAGGAAAACCGGTAACTGATGTAAGCGTGTTTCCAATCCAGCCTATCGTATATCAGCTGACCTTTCCCATTCTGTTTTTGCATTTTTGGACTGACATTAATGAAATAGACTTATCTAAAAAAAAAATTTAAACTTACTTTTAAAAATACTTTTAAAATTAATAACTATTTTTTTAATTAATAAAATAAAACTAAATCAAAACTCTGATTTAGTTGAAAATATTTTATTTTTCCAACTGCTGAGGTTTTACAAAATATAGCAAACAAACGTCTCATTTTTTTTCTTATCCTCGAAAACTACAGTTTTGCTGTTACTACTTTTCCGTGTGAAAGAAATTAAAGGAAAAGAAAAATGGCATTTTGCTACAGAGACATTTATTTATTGTCCTAAAATAAAAGTACAAATTAGAAAAGGCAAAACCATATTTTTCTCCTCCCTCATTTTCTTGGTTATTGTGGAGAGAGAAAACTTAGTGTGAAGCGCTCGTAATTATTTAGTGGAAAAAAATGTGTATTGTGTGCATACTTTTTTCCACTGCATCAAATTAAGTAAATTTCATTTCCAGTTCCTAAACATAGATCAATAACTATAAGTTTCCGAATTTGAGAAACCCTCATTTTATCCTCAAACTTTACAAACAATCGTTTATTTTAATCTTTATTGTCAGTAAAAATTTTAGTAGCAAAGAAAAAAAATTGAAGTAATGATGTTTTAGAAAATTGGAGATTAAAGTGAAGGTTTTGATAAAGTTCAACTAAAGTATCCGACCCCTTGCAATCTCAAAGCCTACGGGAGAGTTACATATCAAGCAGTGAAAATAGTGTGAATGTTGCCTCAACTTATCAAGTTTGTTGATCGGAATGGCGGCCTCATCCACACAGTTTCACCGTAAACATGAAAACAGCAATTTTTTGAATTGGAAAGAACATTTGTGCTTTGCCCATTTCTATTCTTAGGGCGATCCGTTTATATTTAAACTCAATCAACCCAATAAACCAGGGTACGAAAAGTACAGAGCATACATCTCTAGTCATCCAAGTAAAGCACTCCCCAGCAGCGTTAAATAAAAACAATGTAGGTAGCTCATTTCTTGGTTTTGTCAAGAACTTCAATGTATCTCTTTGGAACTCCATATTGTTCAATCAAATGCCTAGCCAAGTCATCGATAACTCCTCCTTGAACCAAAACCTCATACCCCTTTTTACCTGCAAGCAAAGAACTGATTTAGAATTTCTGATACACAATATAATAAACTAGAAGTCAAAGTTCACAAGGCAGGACCATGGATGTTGTATGGGTGAGTCTCTGACCATATTCCCTTCCCCAACAAGCCAATTCAAATTTCAAACCAAAATTTTGATTAAACAAGCACGGAAAAATATACACTCGCTGTTAGTTCACTAGTACTCACTCTGCTAACGCAAAGAGAAGGATGCAAAGGATATGAAAGAGCAAATAAAAGAACATAAACTTCACCATGCAAGCCATTCCCTGGTTTTGTTCAGTCCTTACACTAAGAAGGAAACTGACATATTTATTAAAATACCCCTATCCTATGAGCTCAAAAGAGATCATAGTGGCTAGTGGTCACACTTACCACACCTCACACGTACCGTATTACATAAGTTTATTTCCCATGTGACCCCTTACCTTACTCTCTACCCGCTAAGCACTGCAATGAATACCTTATCGGAAGGCAAGACAAGACCAACAAAAAGAAAGGTAAGATATAACAGCTGGGGACTAAACATCAGAGATTTGATGTCTTTTCAACTTTAAGACCAAAATGTAGTTTTATAATCTTAGGTATCAGCATTTTATCAGCCATGGAAAGATAAAAACAAAATATATATTCCTACATGAATGCTGGTGACTAAACAACAGAGATTTGATATCTTATCTTTCCACCTAAGAGACCAAAATGTTTATAATCTCAGGTATCAGCCTTCATCAACTACGGAAAGATAATATAAAGCACCGATACTTCAATTTGCTTCCCATATCCGATACGTATCGTGTTGGATAATGAAGTATCCAAATCTATAAAACATTTATAAATAATACTTTTAGATAGTTTACCGATGTGTATGTTATTTAAATGTCACAACTTTTAAATCATTTATATTCAATAAAAGTTTAAGAAACGTAAACATATCTATAAGATAGAAACATTTAAATATTATTTTAAACAAGAAAAAAATTGTTCTTATGAAATATTAAGAAATTAATGAGAATAATAGTCTTATTCCTATATGTAAATAACAAAAAATATTTATAATGATAATTCTTTATATTTTCTTTTTCCACAACATTAAATAAATGTGATTTGAAATTTGGATTTGCATGATGATAGCTTTATAATTATTACATTCATGAATTTTTTTACATTTTTAAATGCATAATACTGTATCTTATATGTAATCATCGTTTTGGATATGAATCGTATCTCATACTCGTATCGTATCCATGCATAGTATAAAACCAAAATATATATTCTATATGGATGCAGATATATTAATCAGACAGCACAACATGAGATTGGATTTAAATAAAGAAATGCAACATGTAACAGACATTAGTAATAAAGACACTCGTGCTCATAAATCCCATATTTCTCAAGAATAACAACGCACAAAACCAAAATAAAAGTTGTAATTTTAATGCAACCAATAAAAACCTGGTAGTTCTGCAACAGAGGTACTGCACGCAAACTTCTTCTGCAGTTCTGACGCCAATGCTTCGGCATCTATAAGAAAAGTTTCCATCCCAGAGAGTTTGGTTACCTTCTTGTTGCCCTGCCGACGTTCTGTCAATAACTGAATTGTTTTAAGTGCACCTTTACGAACTACAGATTCATTCCCTCTTGTCACAACATGGTGAGGCTGCATTCGACTCACAAATGTTGATCCTAAATCCTTCTTGTGAATTTCTGTAGGATAAGTTGTTCCTTTTTTTATAGCCCCCTTGAACAGTGCATCACATAATAGTACATCAAGAACTACAATAGATTTATTTGTTGGTTTCACAAGATTTTCTTTTTCAACATAAGTGAAGACAATATCAGTAGCTTCAGAAGCACTATAAAGTTTCCCAGGGTCAGCTCCTACAGACGAAAATATAGAGTTGACATGTACACTTGGCTTGTAGATTTCGGCCACTTCCAGAGTTTTGGACGAATGAAGTTCATTGGCAGACTGAACACTGGGCTGCTCACTTTTCTCAACTCGTCTTTTTTCAGGCTTAAAAGATGAATAATCAGCATGGTTTCGGTTTACTGAAAATAGCATGACTTCCTTTTTGTGTTTATCTTCTTTCACTGATATCTGTACAAAATGTGAATATATATATATATATATATATATATATATATGAAGAAATAATTCAGAAGCAGTATTGCAGAATACATCAATGCAGAACTGGTAGAGGACAAATTATTAAAAGGACCAAATACAGTAAAAATTGAAAATTTCATTTTCTCATGATGCATTACACAAAGTAGACATATAAGTTATAACTAGATCGCATAATTTAATTTTGTTTGTCACATGATGCAATTTATTTTACAAGAATACATTGATGAACTTTAACTAAATTGTTAGTCTCAAAATTTTCCAATGCTTCTTCAATACATTAAAACAACATCATAAGAAACATCCCAATAGACAATCATTCATTGAGTTTATTCCAGCAGCTATAATAGAATTCTTCCAAAGGCAATTCGTTCACCACAAACTTCACAAAGCTTGTAAATTACAACTCACAAGAAAATTACAAATGTTGAATCCCCATTTTTCTATTCAATCTTTTGTTAAGGTCATGAATTTTGAAAATACTGTTGTTATACAAACTTCAATTAATACATTGCACATGGAACTAAGGGTACTATTCTGGTCACAATCTCCTATCTCCATTCCAATTTTTCAGAAAACAAAATCTACAACTTAAAAAATATGTCGCCAAACTTTTTTCTTTCCACATAGTCCCTTGGCCTCCATATCTAAAATGGTAAGAGGTTACACATTAAACGAGCTAAGGAGGCTCCAAAGTGTCTGAATGCATCATTAGTAAGTGCATTCTGACAGAAGAGAATATTGGGCAATGCACTCTGACAGAGACCAACTTCAACACATTCTAGATTCTAATTTTATGATTCATATAACAATTTAAAGATTTTCCTGTCAATATCAGCGAAGCTTCTACTACTATTCTACTTATCCCAGTAAGAAGAAAGCAGTAGATGACAAACCAAGCCAGAGGAGGATTTTGCTTGTAACCACTTTGATAACTTTTTGTAGGAAGATTTCTTGATATCTAGAGTAATTCCTGAAGGTCTACATGGCAATACATGGTTCGACCTGCGATGCCCAGAAGCAAATAATTATCAGATCACTGAAGGTAGGCTGACTTTTCGATTCAATACAAAGCAACAATGTATGTTTAATATGAACTGAAATGAAATTAAGACAAGAAAATGTTGAATACAAATGGCAGTGCACTTGCATAATCGCCAAATATGTTCTGCTATCCTCAAATGACAATAACTTGCTAAATTGAAAGTTATTATGACTCAATTGAAAAAGTTTTCTTTCATACACCAACACTTTCAAACTTTAGCTGAAATCTTTTCAAACAGAAATTCGATACTTAATTCTTCAGCACTGGTGTCCAAAGCTATTTTCACACCTAGCTTAAATGCCCTGCTCAGTATAAAAATCAAGATCTTGAAAAACACTACCGAAGGCCACATGATGTAATCCAGTTGAAAGTGAACTCCATATAGATCGTATTTTTGGTACCAATGTTAATGAGGAAACTGTTGTTTAAAATTATAAACCACACCTAATTGTCAACAGATTTTCCTAGTTTGCAATATATTTTGTCCAATCTATTTCAAAAGGTCAACTTAGTCAACCAAGAGGCAAAGAGAGAGAAAATCCCACCATAGAGTGCTTCCAGGCAATGGAAGGTCTTTGTCCTTCACTGTTGTGTGCAAAGCTTGTAAGAGGCACTTATCTAACAGGGAATCTATATCTGCAGTTGATAGAATCTGTTGGTCATTAGGGTCATTTGCAGAGGCGGTATC